AACTTACCATTCAAATACGTCTGAGGTCATTAGTTTTACAATCACTTGTAGAATAGCTTTGAGAACATTGTGAATTTTCTTAGTGGTTGTTAAACCTGAGCTGTGATGCTCCTTCTCTCACATTGCATTCCACCCAGGAAGGGACCAGAACTTGTGCAGTGGAAATGTCTGGGTCTTGCTCTTCTTGTTCTTTATTCAGGTTTGTTTTCACTTAAATGATTGCATAAGTGTGATTATCTTCCTTAACTTATGAGGGTTTTTGAGTGATCGTTTTAATTCTATTTCCAAAAAGTTTCATTGACGTTCTAAGTTGTAAGAACTGTCGCTTGCATGTGTCCCGTGAGGTGAAATAGCATGGCAATGATATTGGCTTTTCAGCCTTAAAAGTATTGACCCCTGTAATAAAAAACGCAGGGGCAATATCCATTCACCTTCCATCTTTTCTTCAGAGTCCAACTTTATTTGCTTCATTAATACACTTAATCAAAAGATGCCATTCTCCCCACATCATTGGCGGTTAAAACTTGGACACATGACAGGTTGTAGTCAATGAGATGTTTGCTCAACCCTTATAGGAGACATGTAAGAAGACTTGGTAATGGTAATGATTGATCCAGGAAGAGGTCTCCTCTTCCCTCTTTACCTGCTCCTTGCTGCTAGACACGCCTCGGGCATGGCTAGTGTACACACAGCCACGTGGGACAGTAATTACGGAAACCACAAATGAGGACTGTCCACACATAATAAACAAACGTAAAAGACACAAAGGCTGCTGGTAGCCGCGGGGCTATCATATCACCCCTTGATGATCCACATTTGAGGTTTCTTAATTGAGAAAACTATTTATTTAGCGTAGATATTGCCAGTAGGAGCTAATCATGACTCTTTAACAGATAAAAGTTTTAGCACCATATATATATATAGTAAAATGCACAAGGCTTAAGTGTACAGCATAATTGATTTTTTCAAAGCTTTTTATTTCTTTGTAAGTTTGATTGATTGGAAAGGTGGAGTTACAGAGAAAGACCAAGAGACAATGAGAGACAGAGATCTCGTCTGCTTATTCACTTTCCAAGTGGTGGCACAATCAGAGCTGGGCTGAGACAGTCAGGGGCCAGGAGCTTCAACTGAATCCCCCCTATGGTTGCAGGGACCCAAGTATTTGAGCAATTTTAAAGTTTTATTTATTTATCTTATTTGAAATGCTGATTTACAGATGGAGGGTCTTCCCACCGCTAGTTCACTTCCCAAATAGTCACAACAGCCAGAGCTGAGCTGATCCAAAGGTAGGAGTCTCTTTTGGGTCTCTCAAATTGGTGCAGGGTCCCAAAGACTTGGGTCATCTTCCACTGATTTCTCAGGCCTTGAGCAGGGAGCTAGATAGGAAGTGGAGCAGTTGAGACATGAGCTGATGCCCACGTGGGATCCCAGCAACACAGGGTGAAGGATTAGCCTGTTGAGCCAGTAACTCTGTTGAACCATATTCTGCTGGTTTTTCAGTCACATTCTAAAGAGAATTGGAGTAGCCAGGAGTCACACCTGGCACCCATATGGAAAGACAGAATCACAGATAATGGTTTCATCCACTATGCCACAAAACAGAGCTTTTATTTCTTTTTTTCCTAAATTAGAATTCAATTGAAAGTAGTGCTTTAGTACCTGGCACAATGGCTCAATTGGCTAGTCCTCGCTTTGCAAGCACCAAGATCTCACATGGGTATTGATTCATGTCCTGGATGCTCCACTCCCCCATCCAGCTCCCTCCGTGTGGCCTGGGAAAGCAGCAGAGGATGGCCCAAAGACTTCAGACCTTGCACCCACTTAGGAGACCTGGAAGAAGCTCCTGGTTTTGGATCAGCTCAGCTCCAGCTGTTGTGGCCATTTGGGGAGTGTACCAGCAGATGGAAGGTGTATCTCTCCTTCTCTCTGTAAATCTTTCTTTCCAATAAAAATGAATAAATCTTAAAAACCAAGAAGCATTGGGCCAGACACTACAATTTGTGTTCATGGTGAGCAAATCAGCTTAATTAGATTCTGCATGCATTTTGCATAATACAGTCAGTATTGCAGGAATGGGTGTCCCGTAAGGGAACAGTTACTCCATGGTCATCTGTTGAATTTTTGTTCTTTTTTCACAGACACACACACAAACACACACACACACGGGTTTTCTTTGAAAAGTTGAAAGCTGCTTTTAGTATTACATTTCTGTAAGTCTTTTATAATTCATGTTTCTTATGGCTGACAACAGTTATTATTCTATTATTAATTTTAAATAAAATGAAGAAACTAATTTCAGTATAGACAATGTTGTATAGAAAGTTTCATCATAACTTAACAATTCCAGAAATTTTCTTATGAAAAGCTCATCTCAGTTAACCTCTGTCAAAATTTAAGCAAATGGTTTTGGCAACACCTCTTAAAAATCATTCTGGAGAGAAATGTGTGGGGGTCATGTAATTGCCTAAAACAATAAAAATTATTTATTCTATGCTTCTGGAGATTAGAGGTCCTATTGTGTTGAAATCGAGGTGCCAGCAGGAATGCATTCCATTCTGGTGGCTCTAAAGAGCCCGTGCTATTGTCTTTGCCAACTTATAAACACAGAGCCATATTACTTGACCCATGGCTCATTTGCACATCGTTAAAGCCAGCAGCATGGCTCCTCTGGCCATTCTTGAGCAGTCTCTTCTCCCTGCAACCACAACCAAGAAAGCTTCTGTTCTGCGCCAGTCAATACAAGATCATCTGTTCTTCACAGGAACTTAATTTTAGTCACATTTGCAAAGGATGTTTTTGGCATCTAAGTTAACATTTTTACAGATGTTACTACGTGTTTTAGCAGTCATTATTTTACCACAGGTTTGTTACTTGGAATAAAATTATCTAGTTTAGCAGTAACACCTATGATGACATAGGGTATGCAGATCTTTTTCAAGAAGGAGTTAAAACAAAAAGGACATATTTCTTAAAATAACAAAAAAGGAGTGGCTTAAACATTATTTATTGATGCTTGGATCTAAGACTTCTTCTAACTAGAAGTTAACAAACTTCTAAAGCTAATTAACAAAAACCCTGCATTGATTAAAAAGTAACGTGCTTATTCAATCGAAACTATGGAGATGCAAAACTCGCATCCAAATCTGAAGAGGTCTTTATATCTAGAATATGCAAAGAGCTCTTACAAATAATTTTAATAAAATGGGCCAAGAGGGGCAGTTGCTTGGTGCTGTATGACTAAACACCTTACTGGACACTTCACCCCTGCACCAACATACTGCTACAGGAAAACCAAGAAGGCAAGAGGTGAGGGCTCCAATGGTTGGATGCAGAACACCAGTGTGGTAGATTCATGTTGAGTTTTGAGCTCCTGGCTTTGGTCTTACCCAGCTAAGGCTGTTTTTAGTACTAGTTACTAGTTACTAGTATAATGAGAATAAAGAGGAAATGATCTTTTGAATAAAGATAACATTTTAAATGGGTAAGTATTTAAATAGGCAGCTCTCTATATACTAATGACCAGTAAACACATGGAAAACTGTTGCGCATCATTAGTTTTCAGAGAAATGCAAATCAAAATCACAAGGAGATACCTCTTCATACTAATTGCAATGGTTAAAAGCAAATAAATCAGATAATAGATTTAGAATGGATGTGGGAAAATTGGAACTCACTCATTGTGGGTAGGAACATAACCAGGTGTGATGATTTTGGAAAAGTCTAGCCATTCTTCAAACAAAACCAAAGATTCCATGTGGCCCCGGCAGTTCCATTGCTAGTGACGTGAGAAGAAGACCATGCAAATGTGTGTATAATACTCATGGCAGCATTACTGATCATGAAAGGGCAGAAATAATCCAACTGTACAGAGAGTGATGGATAATCTAAATGTGTTATATCTACACAATAAAATGTTGTTCAGCCACAAAAAGAATGAAATGCTGATATATGTCACAGCATGAATGAACCTTGAAAACATTATGCTAAGAGAAATCAGTCACAAAAGTCTATGCTGTATGATTCCATTCATATGTAATTCTACAGCAGAAAAAAAAAAAGCTTGGGTTAAGGTTTCCTTGGAGTTCAGGGCAGAAGAGGTGAGGGAATAGGGAGTTTACAAGACATAAGGTTTCCTTTTGATGTGATGATGGACGCATGACTCTGAATACACTAAAAGTCACTGGATTCTTTATTTTAAATGGGAGAACGTTTTTTAGAGAAGAGATCAAATTATTTTATCATGATCAAATAGAAGAAAAAATTCAAGAGCATGGTAGTCCTAACCTCAAGACCTGCTTATTTGGGAGACAATTTTCCAATAACTGGAAAGTTGCAGAAGTTTGGAGTCTCTAGTGTTCAAAGGCAGTAGTAACCAATTATTTAATAAAGTACTGACTAGGCACAGTCTATAGCACTGCCTGGGGTTGCAGTTTTGCAGTGTACACTGATTTGTAAATTTTAGAATAGTTATATTTTTTGAAAGTTGCACTCATGTAGCTTCTTAGCTTCTTTCCGTGTTCCTGCAGCAAGTTTCCTCTTAAGCGCATGTACTTCCTTTAAATGTTAGTAAAATTAATTTATTTAATCAACAATTCCGCAGCATTACATGGTAGATAACATACTCCCTGTGAAACACCACAGAACTTTAACTATTACACACAAGTCACACAAAAATAAGACTTAACCTTACACAGTCTGGTGCTGGAGAATTTTGCATTTCTTGTCAAGCCAGAAAAAAATTACTCAATAAGAACGCGTGGTGGCGCTGCAGGCTAAGGTGATGGAAAACCCGCACTAATCCTCCCAGCTACAGGAACTAGCCAGTTCAGGCGCAGCTTGAAAGCAAAGGAACAGCTCTCTCAGCCAGAGCCTAAACGAGTGTGAACTCTGGACAAGCCTCTGTTTAAGGCTTGGTTGTGACATTCGGGGCTTCAGGACAGTGCTGCCAGGATCCTGGACATACTGGAAACTCCGGTGAACGAGATTTTCAGAAAAGAGCAATGGAGACTGGAGGGCTGCGACAGGGGAGACAAAGGCAAGTCCTGCTTTTCTTTGTTTTGCTGAGCTTGTCTCGCGCGGGCGCGGATCTGGGGCCTTATGCGGTGGTGGAAGAAACGGAAAGAGGCTTCTTTGTGGCCAATCTAGGGAAAGATCTGGGACTGGGGTCCGCGGAATTGGCTTCTCGGGGGGCCCGAATCATTTCCCAGGGAAACTCTGAACACTTGCAGCTTCAGGCTCAAACCGGGGAGTTAGTCGTAAATGAGAGGCTGGATCGCGAGGAGCTATGCGGCCCCACCGAGCCCTGCTTGCTGCATTTCCAAGTGCTAATGGAAAAACCCTTAGAGCTGATTCAGGCCGAACTGAGAGTGACAGACATCAACGACAACGCCCCTGTGTTCTCCGAAAAGGAAACAGTGCTCAACATACCGGAAAACAGCCCCCCGGGAAGCGCGTACCCCCTGAACAATGCTCTGGATTTGGACGTGGGAAGCAACGACGTGCAGGATTATAAAATCAGCCCCAATGCCTATTTTCGCGTTGAAACCCGTGAACGAAGCGATGGCAGGAAATACCCAGAGCTGATACTGGACAAAGAGCTGGACCGGGAGGACGAGCCTCAACTGAGCTTCACCCTGACAGCACTGGACGGCGGTGCTCCGCCCCAAACTGGCACGGCCCAGGTCCGCATTGAAGTGGGGGATGTTAATGACAACGCACCCGAGTTTGAGCAGCCAGTCTACAGGGTGCAGGTCCCTGAAAACAGCCCCGAGGGCACCCTGGTTGTCACGGTGGTCGCCACCGATTCGGACAGCGGGACCAACGGGAAAATATCTTACACACTCATTCAGCCTTCAGAAGGCATCAGCAAAACTCTGGAGGTAAACCCAGCGACAGGAGCAGTGCGATTGAGAAAACAGGTGGATTTTGAAACAATTCGATCCTATGAAGTGGATATTAAGGCGACGGACGGGGGAGGACTTTCGGGAAAATGCACACTGTTCCTGGAAGTGTTGGACGTGAACGATAACCACCCCAAGGTGACCATGTCAGCGCTCAACAGCCCCATCCCGGAGAACACGCCAGAAACTGTTGTCGCAGTTTTCAGCGTTTCAGATCCTGATTCCGGGGAAAACGGGAAGGCAATTCCCTCCATCCAGGATGACCTTCCATTCGTCCTAAAGCCATCGGCCAAGAATTTCTACACCTTGGTAACAGACGGACCCCTGGACAGGGAGGCCAGGGCCCAGTACACCATCACCATCACTGTCTCTGACCTGGGCACGCCCAGGCTGCAGAGCCAGCACAACGTGACAGTGCACGTGTCCGACGTCAACGACAACGCGCCCACCTTCAGCCAGGCCCTGTACACCCTGTTCGTGCTGGAGAACAACAGCCCCGCGCTGCACATCGGCAGCGTGAGCGCCAGCGACAGGGACGCGGGCACCAACGCCCAGCTCACCTACTCGCTGCTCACGCAAGACCAGGCAACGCAGCAGCCACAGGGACAGGGACAGGAGCAGGTGGACGTGGGCGCGCTGGTGGCCCTGGACGCGGCGAGCGGGCAGCTGTTCGCGCTGCGCGCGCTCGACTACGAGACCCTGCGCGCCTTCGAGTTCGGCGTGCGCGCGTCGGACGGCGGGTCTCCGGCGCTGAGCGGCGAGGCGCGCGTGCGCGTGGTGCTGCGCGACGCCAACGACCACGCGCCGCGCGTGCTGTACCCGCCGCGCAACGGCTCTGCGGCGGGCGCGTGCCCCGAGCTGGTGCCGCGCGGCGCCGAGGCGGGCTACGTGGTGAGCAAGGTGGTGGCGGTGGACGGCGACTCGGGCCGCAACGCGTGGCTGTCGTACGAGCTGCTGCAGGCCACGGAGCCCGGGCTGTTCGGCGTGTGGGCGCACAGCGGCGAGGTGCGCACGGCGCGGCCTGTGAGCGAGCGCGACGCGCCGCAGCAGCGGCTGCTGGTGCAGGTGCGCGACCACGGCGAGCCGCCGCTCTCGGCCAGCGTGGCGCTGCACGTGCTGCTGGTGGACGGCTTCTCGCAGCCCTACCTGCCGCGGCCCGACGCGCCGGCGGGGCAGGCGGGGCAGGCGGGGCAGGCGGGGCAGGCGGGTGTGGGGGGTGTGGGGGGCGAGGCTGGGCAGGCGGAGGCGCTGACGGTGTCGCTGGTGGTGGCGCTGGCGGCGGTGTCTTCTCTGTTCTTGGCGTCTGTGTTGGCGCTGGTGGCCGCGCGGCTGTGTGGGCGCGGCGGGGCCGGGGCTGGGGCTGTGGCGGTGGGGTCAGGGTGTGGGGTGTCTGTGGCCGAGGGCCGCTTCTTCCCTGCCGGGGCTGGGTGTGGTGGTGTGGGTCCTCTGGTGGACGTGGGCGGGGCGGGGACGCTGTCGCAGAGCTACCAGTATGAGGTGTGTGTGAGTGGAGGGAGTGGGACTGGTGAGTTCAAGTTCATGAAGCCTAGTATAGGTAATTTCACAAATGGTGCTGTTAAAGAAATAGAAGAAAATTCTAATATGCAGAATAGTTTTGGATTTAGTTATTGATTTAAATCTTTATATGGCATTTTATGTTTTTCAAGGTTTTCCCATCACTGCAAAGTGTTATTTAATTTTGTGTGACCCATCATTATTTTCGAAATTTGTCCATAAGTGCACGTTTCCATTTGCCTATATGAAATATTTTTCTAGAATCCCAAGGATGAAGTAGCCTGCCCTTACAGTTCTTTTCATTTTAACAAAGTTTCTTCCACATATGTATGTCTTTTTTGACTTTATTATTAGTATTTTCTATATTAATGTAAGTTTTCTATATTTTTCAATTTTTAAAATTTGTGCTCCGTGTGTACAGTTACCATTTAATATTTTAATTGTAATTTTACACTAGCATTTTCTGGTTTTACATCTCAATTTTCACTGTTAGTTTTGGGCCATAGCTGACTGCTTTCCCAAGTCACAAGCAGCAAGTGGAGCAGCCGGGATAGGAACCGGTGGGACTTGAGCTTTTAGGGTGCCGATCTGGAGCCACATAAGTGTAGTTGAAGTTTGGAGACAAAAGGCATAGATTGAATTGCAACACACGGAAATGTTTAACAATTCGTTTTTTCCTTTGTTTGAAATGTCCAATCTGATATGATTTTAAAGGCTAACATTCCTTCAGAATTTATCAAGTAGTTTTTGTGGTGTGACTTAAATTCAGCACAGTGTTTGGGGACAGTGTCTAGCTAGGCCTTTTCCTGTGTCACAGTGCTGGATTTAATCTGAAACCTTAGTGATTACAGGAAAAATAGAACTTTCATTCTGCATATTAGGCCTTCACATGAAATTCTGCACGAAGCAAGAGTTATAATACTGTTCCTAACTTTGTCCTGTTAGGATAAATGTTTAAGTTAGGCCTTTTGTATAACTCCCTTTATTTGGTGCAGAGAAACTACCAGATTTGAGTTATAAAAGACCTTAAAGGTCAGTTCTTTAATGTTGCATGTTATTTTAGGACAACTAAAAGTAAGGGAGCAGAAATTACAATGTATGGATAAATTTTAAAAATACAGGTTTAAAGTACAAAATACTAAAAGGTGCTTTATATAGTTGCATGTGCATTCACTATATTTAGGCATGCCCTAACACAGCAGACACTTTATCACTGGTTAATTTGCTGATCACAGGAGACAATGACAGTTCTTGTACTGAAGAAGCTCACAGATACAAGGACTTGCGTGAAACACAAGAACATTCATAGGTTAGTCATGTTTATATGTGAAAGTTTTCTTGAGGAACAACAGAAGAGGAACAGGCTATCCGATCAGTTCAGATTATAAAGCGATGACTCTGAGTAGGCATGTCCTTCCAAGGGCTTTGTTGATATTTTTGGTTGTCAGACTAAAAAAGTTTCTTTTGCTAATTTTATTGTTTCTTTGTTCGGTGTTTCTGGCAAGAGAAATCTTACTTCGTGGGTAACATAGGGACTCACACTTTACCCTTTGGTCACAAGGGATTGTGTCACAGGTGAAATAATAATAAATGGATAAACAGAGAAGAGTGGGGTGAAGTTACTCTAAAATCTGTTTTCTTTCCTTTTTTGTCACATTTTTAACTTTTCCCATGGCGTTATAAAGAAGCCCCAGAATATCCATGCTTCTATATCTCAACAGTTTTTCACAAAAATGAGTGAAAAGGAAAATGAAGCATTTAAATAAAACACCAAAAATAAGTTTTTATTAATTTACACACACACTAGAATTTGGTGTAGCCTTTCGAGACTTCTGGATGCCACGAGGTGGCGCTGCAGGCTAAAGAGAAAAACCTGAACTGACATAGTTGCTGAAGTCACTGCGACAAAGACCGGGACAGAAGGATTGAGAAAAGCTGTGGCCGCCCAGAATAGGAGAAAGGGGGAGAGGAATCCTAGTTCCTGGCCATTCTGATTGAATTCTGACACTGCTGTTTATGCCGTGATCCTGATCAATATTGACAGAAGGAGCAGCAATGGCAGCGAGAGGGTTGCACTTCCAGGCAAAAAGGCAAGTCGTATTTCTCTTTCTGTTTGGGGGAGCTTGTTTGGCAGGTTCTGGGGTCCGACATTATTCAGTGAGAGAGGAAACAGAAAAAGGATCAGTTGTGATCAACTTGGCACAGGATCTGGGACTAAAGGTCGGGGTACTGTCTGCAAGGAACACCAGGGTGGTTTCCGATGAAAACAACCAGCGCTTGCTCCTGGATCCCCAGACTGGGGACTTGCTCACAAATGAGAAGCTGGACCGGGAGGAGTTGTGCGGCCCCACGGAACCCTGTGTCCTGGATTTTCAAATTTTAATGGATAATCCCTTTCAGATTTACCGGGCTAAACTGAGAGTCATGGATGTAAATGATCACTCACCAGTGTTTCGAGACAAAGAAATGGTCTTAAAAGTACCAGAAAACACAGCTGAAGGGACAGCATTTCGACTAGAAAGAGGACAGGATTCTGATGGAGGAATTAATAGTATCCAAAATTACACGATAAGCCCCAACCCTTTCTTCCATCTGAAAATTAGTGGCAGTGAGGAAGGTACAATCTATCCAGAGCTCGTGTTGGACCAAGCGCTGGACTGGGAGGAACAGCAGGAGCTGAGCCTAACCCTCACAGCCCTGGACGGTGCGTCTCCACCCAGGTCTGGGACTGCCTCCATACGCATAGTGGTGCTGGACGTCAATGACAACCCTCCACTGTTTGCCCATGACCTCTATGGAACCCAGATTCCAGAAGACAGCCCCGCAGGGTCCCTGGTCATGAAAGTCTCTGCAGGAGATACAGACTCGGGAGTCAATGCAGCCGTGTCCTATTCACTCTTAGATGCTTCTGAAGACGTTCGAACGACGTTTCACATCGATCCTTCCTCTGGGGAAATCATTCTCAGAGCGTTGCTTGATTATGAGATAGTAAAGTCATACAGAATCAATATACAGGCAACAGATGGTGGAGGACTGTCGGCGAGGTGCGCGGTGTTGGTGGAGGTGTTAGACACCAACGACAACCGCCCTGAACTGAGCATATCATCCATGACTGACCACATTGCTGAGAATTCTCCGGAGACAGTGGTGGCTGTTTTCAAAGTTAAAGACAGAGACGCAGGAGAAAACGGGAAGATGGTATGCTCCATCCAGGATGACCTTCCATTCCTTTTGAAATCTACGGTTGACAACTTTTATGTTCTAATGACAGCAGGACCGCTGGACAGGGAGGCCAGGGCCCAGTACACCATCACCATCACCGTCTCTGACCTGGGCACGCCCAGGCTGCAGAGCCAGCACAACGTGACAGTGCACGTGTCCGACGTCAACGACAACGCGCCCACCTTCAGCCAGGCCCTGTACACCCTGTTCGTGCTGGAGAACAACAGCCCCGCGCTGCACATCGGCAGCGTGAGCGCCAGCGACAGGGACGCGGGCACCAACGCCCAGCTCACCTACTCGCTGCTCACACAAGACCAGGCAACGCAGCAGTCACAGCAGCCACAGGGACAGGAGCAGGGGCAGGGGCAGGAGCAGGGACAGGGGCAGGCTCGGCCCCAGCAGGTGGACGTGGGCGCGCTGGTGGCCCTGGACGCGGCGAGCGGGCAGCTGTTCGCGCTGCGCGCGCTCGACTACGAGACCCTGCGCGCCTTCGAGTTCGGCGTGCGCGCGTCGGACGGCGGGTCTCCGGCGCTGAGCGGCGAGGCGCGCGTGCGCGTGGTGCTGCGCGACGCCAACGACCACGCGCCGCGCGTGCTGTACCCGCCGCGCAACGGCTCTGCGGCGGGCGCGTGCCCCGAGCTGGTGCCGCGCGGCGCCGAGGCGGGCTACGTGGTGAGCAAGGTGGTGGCGGTGGACGGCGACTCGGGCCGCAACGCGTGGCTGTCGTACGAGCTGCTGCAGGCCACGGAGCCCGGGCTGTTCGGCGTGTGGGCGCACAGCGGCGAGGTGCGCACGGCGCGGCCTGTGAGCGAGCGCGACGCGCCGCAGCAGCGGCTGCTGGTGCAGGTGCGCGACCACGGCGAGCCGCCGCTCTCGGCCAGCGTGGCGCTGCACGTGCTGCTGGTGGACGGCTTCTCGCAGCCCTACCTGCCGCGGCCCGACGCGCCGGCGGGGCAGGCGGGGCAGGCGGGGCAGGCGGGTGTGGGGGGTGTGGGGGGCGAGGCTGGGCAGGCGGAGGCGCTGACGGTGTCGCTGGTGGTGGCGCTGGCGGCGGTGTCTTCTCTGTTCTTGGCGTCTGTGTTGGCGCTGGTGGCCGCGCGGCTGTGTGGGCGCGGCGGGGCCGGGGCTGGGGCTGTGGCGGTGGGGTCAGGGTGTGGGGTGTCTGTGGCCGAGGGCCGCTTCTTCCCTGCCGGGGCTGGGTGTGGTGGTGTGGGTCCTCTGGTGGACGTGGGCGGGGCGGGGACGCTGTCGCAGAGCTACCAGTATGAGGTGTGTGTGAGTGGAGGGAGTGGGACTGGTGAGTTCAAGTTCATGAAGCCGATTATACCTAACCTCACAGCCAAGGTTACTGGCAAAGAAATAGAGCATTCTCCTCTCCACAGTGGGTTTGAGTTCAAATATGAATAATTCTACCTTGCATGTTTGTGTTATTCGTCACACTTTTCAAGCAGCATTTGTTTTCTGAAATGTGTGTGGTTTTTTTTTAGTTGGTTTTACTTTTTCCAGATTTCTTGCATTGTGTTTTTATATTGTTTTCAAGTGGCTGTTTATATATGGCTGTGTGAGATGATAATTTACTACCTGGGAGTTCTTTATTTGTTATATGATTGTGTTGTAATAGGCTTGCCTTGTCTTAATTACTTAAAATTTATTAATTATAGACTTAGAGAGCAAATCGCTCCCAGTCTAAGGTGTTTATTTGCCGATTTCTCCGTTTGGAAAACTGAGATTTTGACTTTTCTCGTGGTGTGTTTCAGAAGCTGTATATCGCATCCTGCCACGTTTCTATTTCCTTCTTTTGTGTCACAAGTTTCCAGTGTTATTTGAGCTTTCTCTTTATTCATGTTTTGAACGGCATGTCATCTCGTTCTCAATGCTAGCATGTAAAAGAACAGAACTAAACTGTGTATGCGAAATGAATCCAAGCACTTTTAACATCTGTACTCCATTAATTTTCCTGTCGTTATCATCGTAGTTCCTTGATATACACGACAGTTTCTTTGGTAATGTTTTCTTGCTGGTATAATAAAGTTGATTAACATGTAAAGTGAAAATTTAATGTGCTAATCTGCCTGACAGTTAATACAGATTCTCAAACCTTTTCGGTTTTTTTCTGTGTAAGAATATTGCTTGAGTGATGAAAGGATATTTACAACTTATTTTCTAGATCTAGTTGTTAAGTTTTAATATGAAGATTAGCTAAAATTCATAAGACCAGATTTGAATAATCTCATTTGTCCTACTGGGGATTATTTTAGAATTGATGACAGTATTGCTAGATAATATGTGTATATCTTGTTCAGTTTTATATTTTGATTGGTTGTCGCTAAGATAAAAAAGTAACTCTTGCGTTCCAACGAAGAAATTAACTGCTGGCACTGCAGTCACAACGCTCCTACCCTTTCAATAAAATTGCCAGTTTTTAAAGATTAAAGTAATTTATGGCCATTTTGCTAAATGAAATGTGTGTGTACTTTATATTGAACTGATTTTGCTAAAACTCTTTTTAAGATAATTTTTAAATTTTTACTTTTTATTTGATGTTTTTTGCATACTTGGACAAAAATGCTTGCCTATGAATGCCATAGAAAGGTGTGGCGAGGTTTTGGTATAGGGGAATGTGGATGTGGAAGATAACTGCCAATTTTCCTTTACTTCCCTTTTCTCCTGTTTGGGAGAGGGTGAGGAAAGGGAAGGATGCTGCTCCCAGCTGCCAAACTACATCAGTATCTGGGGACGGGGTTCATCTTAGAAACCTTAAGGTGGAGAAGAATGCTCCCGGAGTGTTGCTTAAGCAGTTGCCAGGGGTCGAAGACTGTTGGTTTCACTGCTCTAAATTTGAGAAAATCCCTCCAGTTTCCATTGGCTGGCAGAGTCCTCCTTAGTGCATCCAGTCATCCAGATACTTACTGTCAAATCTTGGTCAGGAAAGTTGTCCAACCTGTTCTGTGCTCCATCTTCTTGCATGGCATTCAATGTCCTCATAGGCCCAAATGAACTGGCCATCATATCACTCTTATTCACCTGGGCATTCTGTCCACTGCATATGCATCAGCTATTGAGAAGGCCCAGTCCCAATGCCTGTATTCCAAATTTGGACCACAAATTCTATTAATCTCCCTGTGGTTGGATTTTTAGACCAATGATCCAGTTGAGGATTCCCCCAGGAAACCACACTTGGGGTGACCCCAGATCCAACTCTTAGCCTAGTGGCTAAGATCCTCACCTTGACTGGTGAGGATCCTTATCATGTATTGGTTCTCTCACAAGTGGCTGTAATGGCCAGAGCTGAGCTGATCTAAGGCTAGGAGCCAGGAGCTTTTTCTGGGTCTCCCTTGCGGGGATAGGGTCCCATGATTTTGCACCATCCTCCATTGCCTTCCCAGGCCAGGGAGCTGGATGGGAAGTAGAGCAGCTGGGACATGAACTGGCACCTCTATGGGATGGTGGTAATTGCTGGCAGAGGATTAGCTAGTTGAGCCATTGTATCCATTTTCAAAATTAAAATCAAGAGAAGTGAAGAATTTTCTGCGGGTTATATTAGTAAGGGGCACAAAGTCTTCATCTATTTTTATCATATAATAAGAACACATCATGTAGTCACTATTAAAATTAAATAAATAAGTTAGTATGAAATTTTTTCAAATAACTGATGACACAGGGTGGGTATTTTCTAATCATAATTCTTATTAGATGTCTCAATTTTATCAAAATTTATTGAATTTTATTTTCTCTGATGATATTAACCACATGATTTGGAAGATGTTTTTCTGCTTTGTTTAGGAACTCTGGTTTCTTTTCTACCTTATTTTTTTTTTGTAATGATGGTGGCAATTTTGACATTCCTGTTGCATGTGATTAGCATTTGCTTAAATGTCCTATCATCCTTGCCTGGTTTCTAATGATTTAAGAAATATGGTCTGTCCAAATGCTGTCGTTCTGTGAGTCTGTGGGTTGTGATGCTGAAGGGATTCACTCTGACAGAACTCTGCTGAGTGGGACTGTTACCTGGGAACCACTAAATATTCTGCATTATGTGTGTCTTTATTTGATCATTTGATATTGTCCAGTTTGGAATTCTGTGATGCTCACTCTTTGGGGGCCAGGTAGGGTCACGCATATACTTTGAGTCCTAGAAATGGGAATGTTGTATAGGGAGGGATTAAATGAAAAGTTTTCCTTATTTTACCTTCTTTGTTGTTTCTTTCAGACATTGCTCTTGCACTTGGTCCTAACAGGGTCTCCAAGATCAAAGTCAGTCCCATTTAATGTCTCCAGAGAATCAAATTTCCATTTTCTATTTTAGAATTATTTTCCTGTTTCAGTAGGATGATGAGAGGAGCAGATAATTTAAATCTCCTAAATACTTACTTCCAAGGAATGGCTTTTTGTCATTAATTAACTTCATTCTCAGTATCTGGTTCCTCTCAATACTCTGCTTAAGGTGGGGTTTTGGGAATCCAGTGTTTCTTGTGCACATTTTCAGTGCAGGAACTTTAAGCATTTAAATGGACCTACTAAGTGGATTTGCTTTCTGTTCTTGAAAACATGTGTTCACATGTGCATCCTTGTCCTTTGCACATTTGTATTATTGTTTTCATCACTTTAGTATTTTAAAAGGAAGCAAAAAATTTCAATCAATCCATGAAGTTTCCAAATTGTACCTATTTGTACTGATTTTCTATTGTGTATCATGTACCCAGTTTATAATTTTAAGAATGTAATTTGTACCTAAAATGTCCATGTAGACCATTCTATATCTTTCCTCCTCCTCTTGTTTTGAGAATGCCTATGGTGGCCTCACTGATGAACACCAAACACTCTGTCATTATATGGCAGTCATGTACTTCATCTAGGATTGAAACCACCCAACATTAAAAGATGTCCCGACAGCATTAAATGAAACATGTCTTTGTGTACTTGGAGGGATATTTTAATCAGTGTTTGAAAACAAATAATCATCTTATCCCAACACATAAAGAATTTCAGAAAACTATTATGAAAGATAGTATGTATTTATAGTGAAAAACCATAAATAAAACAACGTTTGATTCTGGAAAACATTTATGGGAGTAGAATTTATTGTGCTTTTCAACAAACTGCAAAAATCTGTGTAGTCACATGGTGGCGCTGCAGGATAATATCACGGGCAAAGATTACACAGAATCACGGCCGTGACTGCATCCCCGGACACAAAGAACTGCACCGAGTGAAAGAGCCAGCCATCAAGGGCAACCTCTCAGCTAGCTGTTCAATAAGGTTAAAGTGCTTAGGCGCGAGCTTTTAGTAGACAAATCCAGGATTCTTTTCCCATCAGTTGTGAGGTGGAGCTAAGGCGTTTCTGAGGGAAGCCTTCCGGAAAGGAGCCATGGAGATTGGAAGGGCAGGGTGTCTGCGCACCAGGCAAGTCCTGCTTCTCTTTATTTCGCTGGGAATGGCTTGGGCTGGCTCAGAAACCGGGCGCTTTTCGGTGGCGGAGGAAACGCCGAGTGGAAGCTTGGTGGGCAATTTGATTAAGGATTTGGGCTTGGAGCTGGGGGAGCTGGCGTCCCGGGAGACCCAGGTGGTCTCTAATGATCGCAAACAGCCCCTGCAGCTGGACAGCAGCACCGGGGATTTGGTGCTAAGCGAGCCACTAGACCGGGAGGAGCTGTGTGGCTCCGCCGAACCCTGCGTGCTGCACTTCCAGGTGATAATGAAACATCCTCTGCAGTTCTTACGGCTTGAGCTTGAGGTCACGGATGTCAATGACCACCCTCCAGTCTTTTTAGAAAAAGAGATGCTGCTGGAGATCCCAGAGAACAGCCCCGTGGGTGCCGTGTTCTTACTGGAAAGTGCAAAGGATTTAGATGTTGGGGTCAACGCTGTAAATGGCTATGAGGTAAGCCCCAACTCTCATTTCCACGTAAAACTGAGAGTCAATCCTGACGGTGAGAAGTACCCCGAGTTGGTTCTGGACGAGGCGCTGGATTTCGAAGCGCAGCCCGAGCTCAGGCTCACCCTCACAGCGCTGGACGGCGGGGCTCCACCCCGGTCTGGGACAGCCGCGGTTCGGGTGATGGTCGTGGACATTAACGACAACGCCCCCGCATTCGAGCGCCCGTTTTATGAGGTAACAATCCCGGAGGACAGCGTTCTGGGTTCCCAGGTCGTCAGCGTGTCCGCTTGGGATTCAGACTCAGGAGCAAACGGGGAAATATCCTACACCTTCTCCCATGGCTCGGAAGATATTCGCAAGACATTTGATATTGATGGGAAATCTGGAAAAGTTACTCTGAGAGGATCCTTAGATTTTGAAACAACTCAATCCTACTCAATAATCGTTCAAGCCACAGACAGGGGCGGCCTCTTTGGAAAAGCTGCAGTACGAATTCAGGTGACAGATGTGAACGACAATGCTCCTGAGATCGCTGTGTCCTCAATAACGAGTGAAATTCTAGAAAATTCGCCTGTGACGGTAGTTATGCTTTTCAGTATTCGGGATAGAGATGAAGGGGAAAACGGGAGAACGGTGTGTTCTATCCCGGAGGACATTCCATTTGTGCTAAAATCTAACGTTGCAAATTACTATACTTTGGAGACAGAAGGACCGCTGGACAGGGAGGCCAGGGCCCAGTACACCATCACCATCACCGTCTCTGACCTGGGCACGCCCAGGCTGCAGAGCCAGCACAACGTGACAGTGCACGTGTCCGACGTCAACGACAACGCGCCCACCTTCAGCCAGGCCCTGTACACCCTGTTCGTGCTGGAGAACAACAGCCCCGCGCTGCACATCGGCAGCGTGAGCGCCAGCGACAGGGACGCGGGCACCAACGCCCAGCTCACCTACTCGCTGCTCACACAAGACCAGGCAACGCAGCAGCCACAGGGACAGGGACAGGAGCAGGTGGACGTGGGCGCGCTGGTGGCCCTGGACGCGGCGAGCGGGCAGCTGTTCGCGCTGCGCGCGCTCGACTACGAGACCCTGCGCGCCTTCGAGTTCGGCGTGCGCGCGTCGGACGGCGGGTCTCCGGCGCTGAGCGGCGAGGCGCGCGTGCGCGTGGTGCTGCGCGACGCCAACGACCACGCGCCGCGCGTGCTGTACCCGCCGCGCAACGGCTCTGCGGCGGGCGCGTGCCCCGAGCTGGTGCCGCGCGGCGCCGAGGCGGGCTACGTGGTGAGCAAGGTGGTGGCGGTGGACGGCGACTCGGGCCGCAACGCGTGGCTGTCGTACGAGCTGCTGCAGGCCACGGAGCCCGGGCTGTTCGGCGTGTGGGCGCACAGCGGCGAGGTGCGCACGGCGCGGCCTGTGAGCGAGCGCGACGCGCCGCAGCAGCGGCTGCTGGTGCAGGTGCGCGACCACGGCGAGCCGCCGCTCTCGGCCAGCGTGGCGCTGCACGTGCTGCTGGTGGACGGCTTCTCGCAGCCCTACCTGCCGCGGCCCGACGCGCCGGCGGGGCAGGCGGGGCAGGCGGGGCAGGCGGGGCAGGCGGGGCAGGCGGGGCAGGCGGGTGTGGGGGGCGAGGCTGGGCAGGCGGAGGCGCTGACGGTGTCGCTGGTGGTGGCGCTGGCGGCGGTGTCTTCTCTGTTCTTGGCGTCTGTGTTGGCGCTGGTGGCCGCGCGGCTGTGTGGGCGCGGCGGGGCCGGGGCTGGGGCTGTGGCGGTGGGGTCAGGGTGTGGGGTGTCTGTGGCCGAGGGCCGCTTCTTCCCTGCCGGGGCTGGGTGTGGTGGTGTGGGTCCTCTGGTGGACGTGGGCGGGGCGGGGACGCTGTCGCAGAGCTACCAGTATGAGGTGTGTGTGAGTGGAGGGAGTGGGACTGGTGAGTTCAAGTTCATGAAGCCGATTATTCCCAATCTTCCGCCCCAGTTGGCTGGGGAGCAAATAGTAGACAATTCTACCTTGAGGAATAGCTTTGGATTCAACTTTCAATAATATAAATTATTAGTCTTATACTCCTTGTATTCTTAGCAACTGCTGATCCTTTTGCCCAGGCTGCCATGGTTTTTAGACTGTGTAATTGCATGCGTTATCGTTGCTGTCCTCTCTTCACAGTGCTCTTGAAATTTTTCTTGGTGACCAAACAGTGGATTTAGAATCTTTGCTTTCTGGGTGTTCATTTATTTAGCCAGAAACGTATTAACCTTGTGACTGCTATTTTTCCATGTGTTTCTATTGCTTTGCAAAATAATATTCTTAATAATTTGGGTATTGGCAAGGTTATAGGCCATTATCAATTCTGTAAATATAAAAACAAGGTAAAAACATTCTGAATGGGTGCCAAATACATGGTTTAATTGCACTTTTTCTGAAAAATTTTGTCATAATTGTGCAAAGATGTGATATTTCAATACTAGAGAAAATCGTTTTTACAAGAACTTATGCTGTGATAAAATTTATACTATGCAATTCCTTCTTTAAGGTTAGTTTTTTGGTTGTTGTTGGAAATGTAGCTTTACTGGAAGAAAGATCTTGCATTTGCTGGTTCACTCCCCAAGTGGCTGCAACAAGCTGAGCTGAGCCAAATCAAAGCTGGGGCCAGGAATTTGCTCTGGGTCAACCACACGGGTGCAGAGTCCCAAGATTTTAGGCCATCTCTGCTGCTTCCGCAGGCCACAAGTTTGGAGCTGGATGGGAAGTGGAACTGAAGGAGTAGGGACCAGCTCCCATATGAGATCCCAGTGTTTTCAAAACAAGAATTTTAGGGGCTGTGCCATTACACAGAGGCTAAGAGTATCCAATTTCATTTAAAGATTTTTTTGAAAGGTTAACTTTCTCAGAGAGTGATAAAAGAGAGGTCTTTTTTCATTCTTTGGTTCAGTTCCCACATTGCCATAATGGCCAGGGCTAAGTCAGGCTGGAGCCAGGTGCTGCTTCCTGGTCTTCCATGCGGTTATGGGTTTGAAGCACTTGGCCCATCTTCCAGTGCTTCTTCGTGATATTAACAGGTCAGTGGCTTGGGAGTGAAGCAATGTGAACCAATGCCACACATTGCCAGCCCCAGTGATTGATTTCTTAGGTAGTTTTTAAGCAATTTTGGGGTTGATAACACTGTTATGGAGGAGTCTTGTGTGCTTTGCTATTGCTATATTGTTTCCTTTAAATACTTTAGGCTCTTTCCTTTTTATAATGATTTATTTGCTTGAGAGGCAGAGTTAGAGAGATTGATCAATATTCCTTCTGCTGGCTCACTCCCCTAAATTCTCCTTAATGAGTCCCAGTGTCCCAAGAACTTGAGCATCTTCTGCCATTTTGTAAGCACATTAGCAAGGAGCTGCATGCTCAGAGGAGCAGCTAGGACTGGAACAGGCACCCTTATAGGATGCTGTCATTGCAGGAGCATCTTAACTATGCCACAAAAACAGCCCCCATGTTTAGGCATTTCAATTTTGTATTTGTATTGTCCATCACTGAAACAAGCAACAGTTCTTGGCCCCATCCTGAGTAAGGTAGCCCTCTGTCTGAACATAAGACAAAAACTCGAATAGAAATTAAAGTGAAAATTCAGACTGTTGAAGAAGCAAGTTCACTTCATCCTCAGTGGTGACTATGAAATACCATTTGTGGTATCAAAAAAATATAGAAAGAAGAAATAGGTCTGCAATTATGAATTATAGAAATCTCACTGAGTTAATAAACTATAATGTCTCAAATCTATAAGAGGACAGTTAGATGGAGGATAGAGATTCTGATAACTGGAATGCAGTGTAGATATGGGTCAATTGTGTTTTATTAAAAAAAAAAAAAAAGGTAAAGACAGAGTAACTGCAGCGTGCAGGCCAGCACAGGCTGAAGCCACGAGCTGGAAATGCCATGCATGTCTTCACCTAGGTGGCAGGAACTCAAACACTGGAGTCATCATCTGTTGTCTTCCTGGCCTATTAGCAGAAGCCAAGCTGGAAAGGGGATAGCCAGAGCCAGTCCTCTCACAATGCGATGCATTCATGCATCACAGGCAGCAACTAAACCTGCTGTGTCACAACACTCACCGCAAAATTAACATTTTTGAAGTTGCCTTCATAACATTAAATACTATGGAATAGATGAGATATTAAAATGCACAGCCTGGTATGATAGCCTAGTGGCTAAAGTCCTTGCCTTGCATGCACCGGGATCTCATATGGGTGCTAGTTCTAATCCCAGCAGCACCACTTCCCATTCAGCTCCCTGCATGTGGACTGGGAAAGCAGCAGAGGATGGCCCAAAGCCTTGGGACCCTACACCTGTATGCGAGACCTGAAGGAGGCTCCGAGTTCCTGGCTTCAGATCAGCTCTGCTCTGGCTGTTGCGGCTACTTGGGGAGTGAATCGATGGACAGAAGATCTTTCTATCTCTCCTCCTCTCTGTATATCTTACTTTCAAATTTAAAATTTTTTAAATGCATTTTTTTGTTTTATTTTAAAGATTATTAGAGGGCCCAGCACGGTAGCCTAGTGGCTAAGGTCCTCACCTTACATGTGGTAGAATCCCATAAGGGTGACAGTTCATATCCCAGCTGCTCCATTTCCCATCCAGCTCCCTGCTTGTGACCTGGGAAAGCAGTAGAAGATGGCCCAAAGCCTTGGAACCTTGCACCTACATAGGAGACCTGGAAGAAGCTCCTGGCTTTTGGCTTTGGATCAGCTCAGCTCCAACCATTGTGGCCACATGGGGAGTGAATCAATGGATGGAGGGTTTTCCTCTCTGTCTCTCTTCCTATCTGTATATCTGACTTTCCAATAAAAATAGATAAACCTTAAAGAAAAGAATCCTGCAAAAAATTTTTAAAAAATAAATAAAATCTTGAAATTGAATAAAATATTACTAGAAAAGCAGAATGACAGAGAAAAGAGATACAGAAATCTTCCATCTACTGGTTCACTTTCCAAATATCAATGCTAGGACTGAGTTAGTCCAAAAGCAGGAGACAGGAACTCCGTTTGCGTGTCCACGATGGCTGGCAAAAACTCAACTGGAGGGCCGTCATCCACTCCCTCTCAGCTGCATTAGAAGCAATCTGGCTTGGAAGTGCAGCAATCCACTGTAGGATTGGCACTCCAGCATAGAATGCAGAATCACAAGTGGTGGATTAACCCTCTGTGCCACAACACCCACTTGGTAAAATGGACTTTTACTTGCCATTGTGAAATAGATAAAAACAGATTCAAGTTCCCGTAGGAATCTTTTCATTTTGCTTCATGAAATTTTAACAAGTTTTATTTTGTATTTCAACAGGTGTTTTATACGTTGTGTGATTTTTAGTTAAGTTTATATTTAAACGATAAAATCCTAGAAGGAACAGTTAGACATTCATTATCCATCAAACTCACAAGAGGTCAAACCAACCCCCCCCCCCCAATCTGTAGTAGTTCCAAAAGTAAACACCGAAGAAGGAACATTGAAAATAGAATTAAAACAAGGGAAACTGGAGTGATTGTGCATATTACTTTCTAAAACTGAAGGATAGCACAAAGTAGGAAATGACAGGGGAAAGTGACCTGCAGTATTTTAACTAAGAATTAATGTTTAAATTATTGAAATAACTCTTGAAAATCAACAAAACACCAGAAAGTCAGGAGAGCCAATAGGATTTTCAAGGAGAAAGATTTGTGTGTGTTAAGTATTTGAAAGGGTTACACAGGGGATGAAGTAGTCTTCCATCTGCTGCTTTGCATCCTAGATGGTCACAAGAGTGGTTTCTTTACTTGCTGTGCCACAATATTGTCCCCATAAGAGGTGGTTTTTATTTTTTATTTTTTTTAAGAGGTAGTTTTTAAAGGCAGAAAAACAGCAAGTCCAGGCTGGTACTGTAGCAGTCAAGTGCCCACGTTCAGCGTGGGCATCCTGTATAGCCTCCCGTTCAAGTCTTGGCTGCTCTACTTCCCATTCAGGTTTCTACTAATATGGATGAGAAGGAAGCAGAAAATGACTCAAGTCCTTGGGTCCCTATGCCCATGTGGGAGACCTTGTTCCTGGTTTCAGCCTGGCCCAGCTTTGGCTATGATGGCCATTTGGGGAGTGAAGCAGTGGATGAAAGACATCTTTCTGTCTCTCTCCAAGTCTGCCTGCCTTTCAAATATATATATTAAAGTGATTCTGGGGACCTAACTTGATAGCCTAGTGGTTAAAGTCCTTGTCTTGCCTGCACTGGGATCCCATGAAGATGCCAGTTCGTGTCCTGGCAGCTCCACTTCCCATCCAGCTCCCTGCTTATGGCCTGGGAAAGCACTACCACCCTGCGCTTGTGTGGGAGACCTGGAGGAAGCTCTTGGTTCCTGGCATTGGATTGGCACCACTCCGGCCATTTGGGGAGTGAGCCAGCAGAAGTGAGGTCTTTCTATTTCTCCTTCTCTCATAAATCTGCCTTTCAAATAAAAATAAATCTCTAAAAAGTAAGTCTGAAAAGAAATTGAATGTTCAGCCACATTGTTGGTAAAAACCACACTCAAATGTACCAGTTTCTGTCCACAATATTAGTGAAGATCAGAATTTTTAAAAATATCAAGTAGATTACTACAAAATTAAAGTGCAATCTATTTAGAGAGTGTCTAGTAATATTTACTGAAACCTAATGTGTACATATCCTGTGGTCTTACTTTGGACATACAAGCCAGAAAATTCTTACACAGCTCTGCTGAGCCGGGTGCATGACTGTGTTTGACTCCATCTTCACATCCAGTAAAGCACTGCACTGCAACTCCAGCTTCCTAAAATGTTTTCAGAGAAAAACACAGACATATTTACAGGCCATATGAGAATGAGATGCAGCAACTACTTCCTTCCTGTCCCTCTCTCCCTATGTGCCTATTACTGTGCATTTTCATACAAGCCCATGACTACATATCTGGGTCAAACCAACATCATCTCTCACCAGTTTTATTGCAATCCCTCTTAATCAGTGTCTAATACATCTCTATTCTCAACTTTGAAGCAAGATGATCTTTTTGAGAAAAAAAAAACCAACATGTCACTTTTCTGTCTAAAATCATTTAATATTCTTGCTATGATATAAAGTCTGTCTTGTAGTTCTATGGTGTAAAGTTCAAATATCTTTAGGTGACAATTTCAATTTCAACTCTCACTGCTTCTCTCTTCTTGCTTTGTGCTTCAGTCAT